TACTGGAAAATAAATGTCCTCTTCCTTTCTCAAGGGATATCTCAAGCTTGCATACCAGGGAGGTTTGTCCTTAGAAGATGATCAATATAACTGTAACAAAAATCAGAAGCTTAAAATGTACCACACTTACAGTAGTGAAGATAATCTCTATAACTAAATCCAGGATGCTGAAATTTTGACCCAATCTGGGGCATCTGATCTGGAAAAAAAATTTAAATGTACCTCAGCTCATTAATTCACTCATCATTAATTTATTACATGTAAAATAACAACAATTTTCAGAACAGACCAACTTCTTGTATACCATGCTTGCATGAATATTTAATTAGCAGCCACATTTGAATAAACACCTTGGCCTGATTACTATAAAATAATGATGGACAAGTGCCAGGTGCATAATTTATTAAATTCTGGGGGTGTATAAATTATTATAAGATAGCAGGCATTAAAAAGGAAGAGACATTCAATACCAAAACTAACCAGCTCAACAAAACTGATATGCTTTTAATTTTTCCAAAATACCACTTAATATGGTGAGGCCTTCTAGAGAATCGCTCTTTCAAATCTCAACGTCATATTGATGTCAGCATTGAGAGTGTATGACTGTTTCCTGGATAGGGGAACAAGTAATATTTGTTTCCCAGGTAGGGAAACACATATCACTGGTTAATTATCTTTCCTGGGTAAAGGAACACTTATCACTACAGATATGTGTCTCTGGGTTAGGGCTCGAAGTTAACTTTTCAGTGCACTTACAAATTTTTGCTAGTAAGATTTTTTCCACTAGCAAACTGATGAGGCAAATTCTTTCCCTTTGCTTTGGAGACATGGATGATTCTAACTTGCAAATGTTTGCTAGTGGACATTTCTTTCACTTGCAGATTATCAAAATCACTCGCATTTTGTGGGCATTAATTTCGAGCCCTGGGTAGGGGAAACACATCTTAGTAAGGATATGTGTTTCCTGAGTAGGGGACATATCATTAGAATTACATGTACGTGTTCCTGGGTAGGGGAACACTTATCCCTTATCCCAGGAACACATATTTCTAGTGATATGTGCGCTGTACCCGGGATACACATATCCCTAGTGTCAATGTTGTCACTGTTCCCCCTGTTGTCACTGTTATCCCTCAGCTGTTGTTAGCCAATAGGTAAGTCAGTCAGCAGGTCATTCGTTCAGGCAGTCAGATAGTCAGCCACTCAGTCATTCAGAATGGCAAACAACTGAGCAAGGTAGTTTTGTGAATCACCTAAATGAACGGCGTTGAAAGTGGATCCCAATTAGGTTTTTCTTTTTGCTACTGACATAATGAAAAACAAACAATTTTTATGAATTCAAGACAATCTTTATGTGCCATATAGATGCTAGGTCTAGGCCTCCTGGATCCCTGCTCAGTGTTGGGCTTGATTAAAGACTACCCTTCAGAGAATTTAGCACAGAATCAAACTATTCAACAGCTGGGATATGTCCACAGATGAGCAAAAAAAGCTGAAAAATTAATGGATGAGACTGGAAAATTTTGTCAAGACACACTCCAATGAGCTAATAGCAGTTCAGGAGCTTCACGACCTTCGACAAGGTACCCTCTCTCTGGAAGAATTTATTGCAAAACTGAGAATCCTTGTGAAGGAAGCCAACTATTCAGTCAAGAGCAATGATCGATTCGTGAGGGATTTCCTTGTGCTAGGAATGAACTCTGACTGTGTTTGAAAGGACTGGATCAAAGTTGGAAATGCCCCCACCTTCAAGGAAGTTCGTGATATGGCAAAGTCAGAAGAGTCAGCAGACAAACAGCTTCAACTAATGAATACGGAAGTATACTCCATCAATGTTCCTAAAGGATATCAATGCCAAGGAAACCAGCGACCAACCTCTAACACTGCATGGCTCAAGTAAACTGCCAGCCTGCAGGAACTGTGGCTGGGGTACCCACCCTTGAGAGCATTGCCCTGTGAAGAATGTTACATGTCACTTCTGCCAGAATTAAATGTAGGACACTTGGCAAAGGTACATGTATGTCGCTCAAAGTTAAAGAACAAAAATGTGCATGAAATTAAAGCGACCAGTGCGGGCGCAAGTGAATCAGTACCAGACCCTAGCCAGTCATCCTGTGATCACATGTTTATGGACCCAATTAGTGCAACACCCTTGACTAGCAGTGTCCATGTTGTCTCCTGTAAACAGAAGGCCCTTTTAAAGATGCACCTGGTACTGAGCCCCAATTGAAAACAAACACATGCCTTCTGTCAGATAGACTCGGGTGCAGAAACCAACATCATACCCAACTCCCTGTATAACCAGCTAAAGCCCACTATGAAGTTAACAGCATAATGGTGGGAATGAAATCCCAAACTTGGGATCATGCCAAGTGTGCGTTAAGGGTCCCGACAACCCATACCCCAAATCAGTACAGGCAGAAATTGTTGATGTTGATGACCCTGCTGTAAATAGGCAATATGTCAGCACAAAGTTTGAATCTTCTAAAGCTAAATTAGACAGTTGCTGTTGACAGCAACAGCATACCTGCCACTGCCACTCAGGGCTTGAAACTGTTCCATTGACAAAAGAATATCTCCTGAAAGAGTATCAATTGAAGATGTGTTTACTGGTGACGTGTGCTTCCCAGGTTCTCCCACACCAAGTAGAAACTAACCTGAATGTTTCCACAGTACAATACCCTCCGAGGCAAGTCCCAGTCCAAGGTGCCTACCAAGAAAAGCTGGAACGACTAAGGCAGGCAGATATCCCAGAACAAGTGCACAATGAGTACATGCCATGGGTTAACTCTACTGTAGTTACAAGAAAGCACAAAATAGCACTTATTCGCCTTTGCCTGGACCCCCCACGACCTGAACGAAGCAATTCAATGCACCCCCTACTATAAAAGACTTCCATTTGGACTTACCTACAAGAGCATGATCAGCACATACTCAGCATCCTTGACACAGCATGGGATAATCATGTACCGTTTAACCCAGACAAGTTCCAGTTTAAAGTAGACCAAACATCTTTTTGGGGGCTTACATGAACCCCGGATGGACAGAGAGCTGACAACCTCAAAATTAACGCCATCACCGACACGACTTCCCCACAGAACCTTGCTGAGTTGCAGACTTTTATGGGAATGGTCGACTACCTGATTCTCCCCCATCATAACCCATGCCTCAGAACCCCTACAACAACTGATGAAGAAAGACACACCCTTTGTATGGTAACCAAAGCACCACAGGGCTTTCCAGAATGTTAAACAAATCATCACTAAAACACCAGTGCCAGCCTACTATGACCCAGAAAAGGACAATGTGATCCAGTCCGATGCAAGTCTAAAAGGCATCTGTTGCATACTGATGCAGGACAGCAAGCCAGTGTGCTATGCAAGCAGATCACTCAGTGATACAGAATCCCGACACAGTAACATTGAGAGAGAGCTTCTTGCTGCTAGTTGGTCCCTAGAGAGGTTCAACCACTATGTTTTTGGCAGAAGAGTAGTCATCAAAATGAACCACAAGCCACTAGAAAGCATATGGAAGAAGACCATACAGTGTACCTAGTGCATTGCCAAGGCTCCAGAGACTAGGCTTTTGTCGATTGAGCTAGCATAATTTTTAGCATAATTTGGCAAAACGAGCATAATTCTTAGCTTTTTTTAAAGAAAAGCACTGCTAGCAGCTTTCCTTCTATGTTGTGACAAATTGTTGTAATTTTGTACTGAATATACTTCTACTTACTGAATTGTGTTTCTAGAAAGTTTCTTGAGGTAAGACGACTTGTCATAATTGTCACAAGTTTATCTCTGCATAGACGCTGTGCACTCATCATGAAGTTGTTAGTGTACCACATAATATTAGATCTGGCCAAGAAACGTCTACGCCCTTACATTAGAACCAAAAGAGCAAATGATTTTATTACTTTTAAATTTTTAGATTAGTTTCATTACATTTTACATAATCATATTATAGTATCATTACTGTCAATTTTATCACTTGACAATTCAGTCTTTATTGCAAAGAGTGGAATAAACGATGTTTGTTTGTTTGTTTGGTCATTGTCATGTTTCTTGGTTTCAGGCCCCATTCGTATGACTCAGTAGCAAGCTACCTGGGATCTAAGATCAAAGATAGCATCCTCCTCGTCGAACACTTGTGTTTACACGCTGCTCAGTCTTTATTTTTGTTAAAAACCAAGCGGCATAATTCAAATGCAAGGACAGCATAATTCAGAGAAAAGAGCACAATTCCAGCATAATTTCCAAAAACTTTGAGCACTGCCAGGAGCATAATATGCTCATTTTTCGAGTACAATCGACAAAAGCCTCCTTCTCCTGAAAATGGCTAAATACAAGGTGGAAATGAGATACATCCAAGGCAAAACAAACGTTATTGCTGACGCCCTTTCCAGAGTCTGTTGCATGGAACCTCCTGAAGAAGACCAAGGCGTGACCCTTCTTGAAGTCAATGCGATTACAAACACCCTGCTTCCTTGCCCAACTAAATTAAATGAAATATGACACCAAATAAGCCAGGACAGCCAGCCATCTGAAAGATGTCATTCCCCAAGGGTGGCCTGAGTATCCAAATGAATGCCCTTCAGACCTAAAAGAATTCTGGAATTTCAGAGAAGACCTTTGTGTCGGAAAAAAGGCCTTATCCTAAAGGGACACCGGCCTCTGACCCTGAGTGACCTGCACACCCAGATGCTACAAATCATCCTCCAAGGCCACCTTGGTGTGGAATAGTGTCAGTTGAAAGCTAGAGACTGTATCTTTTGGCTGCGCATCTCAAAAGATATTATGAACATGACTTCTAACTGCCCCACCTACATACAGTTCTTGAAACTTTAGCAAAAGGAACTCTTGCATCCTCACAATGTACCCAGTTTTCCCTGGCAAAAAGTTGCTACAGATCTGTTCGACTATCAAGGAGGACGGTACTCGCTGATAACAGACTACTACAGAGAGTACCCTATCATAGAAAGCTTAAATCAACCACATCTGCTGATGTCATCGATCATCTCAAGTTGGTATTTGCAGAGAATGGAATACCAGAAACCCTCAGGCTGGTATCTGACAACAGGCCCCAGTATACACACTGTAGCAGCCAAGAATTTGCAGCCTTTTGCAAACAGTCGGGCATTGACCACGTGACAAGTTCACCACTGTATCCTCAGAGTAATGGCTTTATAGACAACAGTCCAGACAGTAATGAATCTTCTAGGAAAAGCAGAAGCCTTGGGGCAAGACCCCTATCTAGCACTGTTGACATACTTTTCCACACCTATAGACAACAGCCTACCATCGCCTGCCCAACTGCCGAACCACAGAGATTACCCCACACAGTTACCAATCAGTGAACGGCTTCAACGTTCTCAAGCCCTTGCTGGCCACAGAGAACAACTGCAGAACCGACAGAACATCGAAAGAAAACAGTACGATAGTATATCGACACTCAAACGTAGAAAACCTATATATCAAGATGAGGAGGTAGTTGCGTTCCAGCCAAGAACCGAGACTTGGGACTCCAGCACAGGTGAGGGAAGAGGCCAGTGACCCACAGTCCTACATTGTTAAGACAGCTGATGGGTCTGCATGAGCTAAGATACAATGGAATACAATTCAAGCTCTTAGAGAAGACAGCAAGCCAGGTTAATAGCAACAAAGAGAGTCTTTCAACACACAGAGTCCTATCAAAACCTTCAGCCTATCCCCAGTTGTCATCACCAGAACTAACCCAAGCAGCCAGCCAGTCACCAGTGCCCTCTGACCAAAGTGATGCTAACTTACCAATGACAACTAGGAGCGGCCATGTTGTGAAGAAGACCTCTAGACTAGACTTATGAGCCTCTACCTTTAGAACTCTTCTGGCATATTAACCATACAGAGACACTTGTTTTGTTTACCACTTTATTTATCAGATTTTTTATTGTTTATTAGATAGTTTTTTAAAATCTATTAGTGCTTGTTGGACAGTTTTGCTTTCCAGCTAGCTCAGCTCATTTTAGGGTGGAAATGTTACATAATCAACCTTGTGCATGCGCAGTGCATGCACTTGAGCACATGTTCCTCTACAACTGAGCTTGTAATTCCTAGAGAGTCGGAAGATTATTGAAAACATGTGTTTTGACCCAAGGCATATCTTTTCAGGAAATGAACATATCAGCCTTTCATTGCTCCCAATGGAAGTTATGTTGCTTTGAAACCTTAATGCAACTCGACATCACAATCAATGACGTCACTGCAACTACCATCCACATGCCTGCCAACCCCCACAGGACAAAAATCTGGAGATGTCTAGAAATGTTTGCATTGTAAGAATGTCCTTTTCTCAATGTCTGAAAACTCTCCGAAAATCACCCGAAGGCCTTCAGAAATGTTCTTGACGTCGATAACAGCGTTCGAAAACCACACCAACTTTCTACCATCTACTGTGCAATTTGATTGGTTGATTTCTGACCAATTATTATACTCATTAAACATTTATCAATTTGACCGCTCTGCATAACATTTTCCATTTGAGTTCAGCTCAAATAACAGCACTAAATTCACTTCTTGTTTTATTTTCCTTTTTGAGCTCTCGAAAATAATGAAATTGATGAAAAAATTTTGAAAAAGGCCAAGGAAGGCATTTCCTGGGAGATTGGTGCTCTGACTGGGAGACCGGGAGATTTGATGAAAAGGTTGGAGACTCCCGGGAAAACCGGAAGAGTTGGCATTTATGTATCCAAAGCCGACTTGGTTTCTGCCTCGCTATGCAATACAGGCACATTAATTTCCCAACTGATAGAAAGGTCGACAACATAATAAACTCTCTCCATGAGGAATCAAAACCCGAAATCTTGAGTTTTAGCTTATTTCAGTTATATATTTCTGTTATTTATCAACAGAGCAATGATCTGCACTTGTGACCTGTGACCTGTGACGTGTATTCTGTACCTGCCAAATTTCACGTTTCACCTTAATTTGTACCGGATCTCCTAGATTTAGTTGATCATCTAAGCCATAAGTTTAATCTTTTAATTACCATCACCAATATTACTTGCTTATGAGACCATCGTTTTCTGCGAAATAGTCTTAAATTTAAGCTTAGGCTTAACTTGAGCTAATTAAACGTCAGCTTACCTTACAAGACCCCTGCAAGATTTTTCACGATACTACCATGCCACGTGCGAGAATTTTTCGATCATGAATAAAGCCAAGTGTTGACGAGTAAGTAAAAGAACTGCTGAAGCTCAAATCCGAGTTCCAGAAGTCTAATTTTGTTATTCTAGATCCAATTTACTACACAAGTGTTCTGTCTGGTCAGTAAACGTCGCCATATTGGTTTCATTTAGAACCCAGTCTCTCGATTTGCGTCTCGCGCACGGGCTTTCGCAGTACTCGTTTCGCGTTTCTCGAGTACTCGCAAAACGCGCTCAAAGGAGTTAGGAAAATAAACATTTACATGCCTATTACTTGCTCATGAACTTTCGCGATTAAGAGTGCGATAAATGGTAAATATTACTTCTAACAGTAACAAGTACTTCAACTGTGTAATGAAACCAGTACATGAGGAATGTGAGTGCTGAAACCCACATGAACTTATGTGAACGCAAAATATGTTTCGCGCGTGCCCAGGAATCGAAGCAAGATCTTAAATGTGAAAGTAATTCACCACCATTGCAACTGCAAGCCTTTAAGTAAAATAGGCAGGCTTTCTCTTATTGACATTGAATTGAACCTATTCTAGGAGCTGGAGTCCGCGGTTCATTGGTCAGACTTGGTCAGACGGCTATACCATGCTGATTGGTTTGTCGCTATGGACTTGCTGATATTTCACATTTTTATGACTCCTAATAAGGACGCCCCTGGGTCGAGACAGCTACCTGCCAACGCCAGGGTGATATGGCTTTGCGCATGCATGCATTAGGTACTTGCCAGGCCGTGGGTTGGTGTAAGCGTGCCAATTGCTGTTAAGTTTGCTTTAATCGGCGTATAGAACGCAACTAGATACCTTCTAACCTTTTCCAGTAATAGAGTGGTTCCATCGAAATAATTGTACCATTGCGTGTGACACCCGCGCGCAATTTTGATGAGGGGGCCGCGCAAAGAATAAACAAACAAAATGGTGTTGGAAATTACCTTCATGGGAGGTGAATAAATTCCATTATCTGTCATTATTTTCAGGAGAACCTTAAACAGCGACGTTTTCAGTGAGCTACGCACGTCAACCGGAAGTGGACTTTTTGCACACTTGAGCCGGTGATTTTGGACAAATTTTGGGGCAAATCGTCTCTTTAAGAGTAAAAAACACGTAGGAATACAAATTTGGTTCTGCCAAGGCATATTAAAAAGGAAAAGGCTTACTTCTGGTTGACGAGCGTCGCTACTTAAATTCCCTATTGACCACACTGATGCATGTTTTGTCTACTTTTTTCGCAGCCGTAAAATGCACCTGTTAACCCTTTTACGCCAGTTTTAGACCAAAATGACAGATTTTCCTAAACTTTCATATACTTTTAAACTAGAGCAGTCCGTTGCCCTACCCTTTCGTTTACCAGAAGTATATATGAAAACAGTGAAAACGGTACCCCTTATAGTCCATTATATCCTCGGGAGGTGTCGACAGATTTTGCTGAGTGATNTACGCCAGTTTTAGACCAAAATGACAGATTTTCCTAAACTTTCATATACTTTTAAACTAGAGCAGTCCGTTGCCCTACCCTTTCGTTTACCAGAAGTATATATGAAAACAGTGAAAACGGTACCCCTTATAGTCCATTATATCCTCGGGAGGTGTCGACAGATTTTGCTGAGTGATCCCAGTTTTCAAAACATGAAGAAACCGAGGCGAGGATCTATTATATCACTGAGGAAGGGATGGGGTACCGTGCGAGCAGAGTTTCTGTCTCGCCTGGCCTTTAGCGTTTACAAAGTCGTTCGCGTACACATAACACAAAAATTCGTCTGACAATATATTGACTTTCAATCCCTCTTCTGAAATTTTTCCAATAAACTGGATTATGTTATCCATCGCTGTTCTCATTTTTTTAACAGAGTATTTTCAACTTCACAGTCGAAGAGAAAATGATATATACAACAAATTTTCAAATACAACTGATCTTTTAATGCTTGTCTTATATGAGGTAAAGTTGTTTTCATGAAGAGCACATTCAAATATATGAAAAAATAAGCAAAGATATCTTTTTTTTGTAAATTAAGACGACCATAAAACCTATTACTTTAACCAGTAACATATTTTAAATGGAAACTCATGCATGTAACTAGGAAGATAAGCAAGTACGTAAGAAATTAGGTAAGCAAGCAATTAAGCAAGAGAGAAAAAAGTAAACACGTGTAAGGCCTGTTTCAAACGTCGTGCTATTGCCGTTCTAAGCTGGATCCAGCCTAGTCACCAGGCGTTTTCGGCTCGGCCATTCATGGACTCTACCCTGAGCTGTGACGTCACCGAGAGATACTCTCTCGCCCGCTCTCTCCCAGACTTCGAGCGGACAACGGATCAAGAGAGAACGCCTAGGGACTAGGCTGAGCTGGCTCGACTTCAGCACGACTGTAGCACGACTTGTTTTTAGACGTCGAATTTAACTCAGTCGAATAAAATAGTTGTTGCGGAAAACAAAACTTTAAAATAAAAAGCGGTTTAGTGAACTTTTAAAATGTATTCTAATGTATTTATAATTTATGAATTAAGCTTACCGTGCTACACGGGAGTAGCACGACTTGGTTTCAAACGTCGCCAAAGTCGAATTTATTTTGATCAATTTAGTTCGGCACGGTAGTAGCACGACGTTTGAAACGGGCCTGAGTAAGTAAGTAAGTAAGTAAGTAAGTAAGTAACTAACTAACTAAGTAATATATTGGTGAGTGAGTAAGTAAGTAAGTAATTATTAAGTAACTGACTAACTAAGTAATATATTGGTGAGTGAGTAAGTAAGTAAGTAAGTAAGTAAGTCAAGTAAGAAAAATAAGTTGGTGAGTGAGTAAGTAAGTTAGTAAGTGAGTAAGTAAGTAAGTAAGTAAGTAAGTAAGTAAGTAAGTAAGTAAGTAAATAAGTAAGTATTCTAAGTTAGTAACTCAGTTTCATAAGTAGTACCTAACTAACTAGCTACCTCCATATGGAGCCTTATCAAAAGAAAATTAAGTGGAGATAATAAATAAACTAATAAATACCTATTTAGTAGCATTGAATCCACATTGAGACAATTCTGGATCAAGCTGAAATTATAAATGTTTGCTCTTGAGGCAGTGAATCCTGCATGGAGTACCCGGAGAAAAACCTTTACGGACCAAAGGCAAGAACAGGAAACTGAACAAACTCATCCCACACGCGGGATTTAAGCACTGGGCCACATCGGTAAGAGAAGCGTGTTCGTTTCGCTGCAATAAACCCTTATTCCCATCTGGTTAGCAGATAGGTAGAGGTGGTATGATGGTAAAATTCCCTAGGAGCTCCAATGAAATAATGGTACACCCTTTGAAATTGTGATATATAGCAGCGACTGGCGGGCTAGTAGAAATCTCACCAGTTATTAAGTAGTAAACAGGTATGAATAGGTTATAATGCAATGATTGGCCAATTATTTTATTTTCAAAAAATCAATTTTTGATAGCGCCCGTGTTGAGTTTGTCGTTGTTTTATGATGTCCAAACACAAGGCAAAAAGGCTTGTTTTGATATAAACCAATCAATGGTTTAGTATACCATTAATCAACTATATACAGCGTATATATCCTGAACTCGTCGAGGATTTCAGTGCGTATGTTGTTTAATTTTTTTTTGCCTTTTACGTTCTCCTTCTTTTCTAAATACCCTCCGTTTCACGAATTCTTTTTATGTTACTTGAATGTGCTTAGCAAAGCAAATATAATTCCAATAAATAAGATCATAAACTTGATTCCTACATTAATGACCAAAAGCTAACGAGTTTTAGTTAAACCTCTCAAAGCCTGTGTTCTAGCACATCTCCTAGTTTTCGCTCGGCTTTTTTTTTTTCGTGTCACAATTGCAACAAAATAAAAGCTATTAAGAAAACGTGTATCCTTTGTAAGAATGATTAAGTCGTATGCTAATGACGTCACCAAGAATTCGCCTATATGTGTACAAAAGTTGTGAGATCTTAACGATATGTCTATTAACAGCAATGTCACGTGACACTTAAATTAGGAAGTATGAACAATGCTTAGCAGTCTTGCTAAAATATGTCTGTATTGCAATTAGTCCTAATAAAATGATAAATAGTGTCGGTATTTTCTCCAAGCTACAATGCTATAAATAAGATCGACCTATATATGGAATGTAGTTAGGTTTACGTGGCATAGTTTGCATAGAGGCTTTTTATACTATAGTCAGATTCGAAAATATTGCAACGATTACGACGTCTGACATCTAACAGATACTTTATATGAAAGTTAGAATATTAAAGTTTTGAAGAGTTTCATTTGCTTGGGAGAGTTTGGTATTGCTTTGGCTCCAACAACGTTCTTATACAAATTCCTTAAATTTGCAAAACTTTCAACAATCAAAATTCGTCATCTTTAAACATCAATCTTGGTATAAATCTAAAATAAAGCCCCCTTCTCTAATAAGCCCCACCCCCTTTTCAGGGGAAGAGAGTTAATAAGCCCCCCCCCCCCCCCCCCCC